AAAACTGGTTTAGGAGGAAGTTCGAAGAAGCTGCATATATGTAGTCCAACGTTCGTCAATTCGGAGGAAGTAACTTGGTTTGAAATCTTTTTTAATTTTTAAATTTATTTTCAATTTTATGCTCATTTGTATCTTTTATTTTTTTACTGCTTTCATTGCTTAGTACAATTGATATTTTAGCTATTCATTTCAATTATTTTGTTTAATTCAATTGTTCTTTCACAGATTTCGAATCATAGTAGTATCATTTTAGATAATGGAAGTCCAAACTGATGAAAATCACCAAGAAATATTGTCAACCACTTTCAAATAAAAGTAGAGGACTCTATTGCAACGCTTGAGAGCAGAACCCCAAATATTAAGTTTATAATATATTTTATGGAATTGAAAACAACGAGGATCTTCGGAAATCTTCAACTTTTCAAAACTACATGAATTCAAAGCTTTTTGTTCTTCGTATGAACCACGAACGTTTTAGATCGTATTCCCAAAAAGTTGAACGTGGAAGTACCTTTCAAAACTTCTTACAGACTTCAATAAATGTTGGGTAATCCTAAAGACAAGATTTGGGAAAATGAAAAGCTGGAGTTATGATATATCTGTATCTGTAGAGTAGGACGGGTGAGTGTAGGCCACATGTGACCCATGGTACATCCTCCCGAGGAGTTGTCCTCCTAGGTCTGGGTCATCATCCATCATGTTTTTTCCAGCAAGATGGACCGGTCCCTAGGAGATATCTCCTTTATATCGGCAGGTGTAGGCCAAGACTAGCCGAACACACACTTTCTTATTGACATAACTTCGGACAGTCGCGTAAGACATGCCTGACAGTTTCATCTTCCTGTTCACACATCCTTCATAGAGGTGTGTCCACTAACCCCATAATATGGAGGTGTTTCCTTAGTGACCAGTCAGAAATCCTACTGTTGAGCGTAGATTTTTCTAGGTCATCGTCAGATATTTCTTCGGCGCCAGCTTCCCAGAGTCGCCCAGGGTGATCCTGGCAAGACTGCATCCTTTGATTCCATCCCGTCTCTCTAGGGATTGAGCATGGATGTGACGTTTGGCTGGTTCCGCAATTTTTGAAGTCATCAGGCCGTAGGTGTCACTGGGTCCTAAAATTCTTAGTCCAGCCGCTTCCTTGGCTAAAGAGTCGGCAATGCGAGTACTTTTACTTCTGTCGTGCGTTTTAACCCATCTCATGATACTGTTATTATCTACCGAAGCTTTGGCTGAAACTTGGTGGTACTCTAGTACTAGAGGTAACACGTTTGTTCAAGGCTAATAGGGCTCGTCTACTATCAGTGCAGATTGTTATGTTTTTGCCAGAAATTCCTCTCCTGGTTATTTCTTTTTTGGCGTTTGAGATACCAGCCAGTACTGTTTGAACCATGCTAGTATTTTTCCCATTCCCCACTAAATCCTTAGGCTTAGTGATCTGGAACACATCCTGAGCCGTCTTTGGTTTTTGAGCCGGCTGTATATATGCATATTGCATTTGTAGCATCTATTATATAATATAAGCTGTAAGGACTATGACAGCAAAAATATTGCTCAAACTAAGTTTGTCATTGCAACTCAATTCAAAGAACACGCGGCACATATCCAATTTCGAAGACCAGAAAAATCTAGTGTCGCTCAACACGCTAAACACTGAAATTGTTGTGATCGGTACATAACACTAGATTTTTGGATATATTCGAAAGTCTGAAAAAGACAATGTATGGCATGAGAACCATGAACAGTGGTGAAGGTCCCCTTCCAAACAGCCCTCTGTATTGTATTGAACTGTGTATTGAAAAGTAGATATAAGTGTTACTCCGTTACATATGAATAAAAACCAATTCGGTTGGAAATTACTTTTCTTTATCTTCTGCAGTCGCCAACCTGTTTGGTGAAACGCGCGTCGAAAATAGTATTGCAGTTTTGGTGACTGGGAAAAGTGCTTGTTTATGGAAATAGATAGGATAAGTTCAATAGTGAATATTTATTTCTTTGTTGACATGAATTTTTCTTCAGGGTCTGCCCTGCAGCCGAAAAGCTATAATATATTATTCAACAAGCGAAAACTATGGACATTACATGCGAGAATAAATTTTGTCTACGCGAGGCAGTGGAAATATTTTTTTTATTAATCATATTTCACGGTATGTACTGGGAAAATATATAAAATGGCAAATTACTGCTAACTGGATATTTTTAGACGTTTACATTTCATAGTATCTTTTCGGTAGGGTTTGAAATCGATAACAAAAAAATAAAAATCACTCTTCATCATAAGTGATTGAAATCACATTTTGATCATTATTTCTGAGTGAAATTCGTAAGATTAACAATAATCATAATTTTCGAGAATTTAGAATCGTATTCGTGATATTTTGACTGCAGTAGTAAGTGAAAAATATTGTTTTCATTGAATGAGCTATTTTTTAGGAGAGATTTACTTTTCACTACATTGAATAATTAATTCGTAGATTTTCATTTTCATATCAACATTTTTTCTATCACAGTTTTATGAAATCACTTTTGTATGGTTGCATTGAACAAAAAGTGTATACAACAGTTTCGACATTTTGAATCATAAAGCCATTCATGAACGCCAGTCATGCATTTACATTAATTAATTTCATTCATAATACTCACAACATAAAAGAATTATAGGCACCCATAATTTTCAATCGAATCTATAAACACCAATGATCGATTTTATTTATAAATCAAGCATGATTTTTCAATAAAAAATCTAATTTCGTGATTATTATATACGAACATTAAAAAAAAAATAGTTATCGCTGTCAGGCTGAACTTTTCAGTTTTATAACACCTCTCAGTCAGCAGAAAAATAGGTCTTTATGTAGCTTAAGAGTTGATGCCGAATTTAGAAAATATATTTTTCACAACTTCAATAAAAAAAAACTATGTAGATGTTATTAAAGTTCTGTTACTGCGTAGCATATCTGCAAACAGAATGGTTCCAATAACGCATCATCAATCATTTGAATTTGCACTTGAAACTCATAATTTCGATTTTAAACTTATGATTCTGATTTTGAAGTCGAAGAAACAAAAATTAAAAATATTTGTTAACGAATAAGTGCACGAATAAGTGCGAATGATAAAAATATTATGAAAGTATAAAATATGAACAAAATATGAAATTATGAGTTCAAAGACGAAACTTTTAGTGACTGGCCGATACAGAGTCGACATATTTTGAAGTGATATTCAGTCAAAGTTTCAGCTTTTGAAATCAGAATCATTCAAGGAGTGGAAATTATTAATATTTAGTTTTTCTGCGCTTGTATACATTATTTTCCTATAGTGTTATATATTATCATCTTTTAACCCTGATGGTGACTGAATTCTTTATTCAAACATTATATCGTTCATTAAATATATGAAACCTCGTAGACTATGACTGCTACAACCCATACCTACTCAATTTCATACGTTTTTGCTGTTTTTCATTCTTGTAAGTTTTTTGGGCCTCAGAAGGCTACCTTTTTATAATCCAACAAATTCCCAGTGACTAATTTTTTTTCGATAAGGAAGATTGAAAACCTAGACAACCAACCAAATATTTTTTCTTTCAAAAATACTCAAGGAGAACATTCTTATTTTAAGGGTATATTCATGTTGTTATTTCTAAGAAAAAAAATTCGAGGTATGACAATCACAAAACTAAGGAAATTAAAACCATAGAGATTTTTTTTCGGGTGGTAGAAAGTATAGCACTCCTACCTGTCTCTCAATCTAAACGACTTATCAAACTTTTCGGACTCCATAAGTCCCTCTTTGGAACATTCTGCACGATTAACTACCAATCTTCTCCCACTTTTCATCGGGTATATATACAACTTCTTCACTTTGGCTACCGGTCTCCATTCTTTTGGTATTTTGGGACGTTTGAATCGTCGGTAAATATAGGACCCCAAAACAGTAACGACTGTAGTCAAACTGGCAACAAGAACTAGGTTCGTATGTTGATAAGCATTTGTAAACACCATGTTAGTGGATAAATATGTATGTATCCGACTGTTCTATTCCAAAAATTCGCAGTTGTTAATCGCAGCCATGCAAAGGTCAAGTATGGCCATTGTTGCCAAAAATCTGTTTTTTTTGGTATATGTAGGGACATTGGAAAACTTCAAGTTATGCGACTTTCGGCATACTGATCTTTAATATACATCTCAATATTTCATATACTCTCAATGTTTTATTTTATCTTCTCCATTATTTCAGGGTTTCAAATCGTTAATTCCCAGAATAAAACTGGAAATGAAATCCGATCTAAATTTTATCAGAAATCTCAAAAATAATTTGATGATTTTTATTGAGAGTAGCTTTCTGATCATATATGAAAAATCGTGTCATGATTTTTATTTCATAATGAAATTCATACGATTCAAAATAATAATACTTTTAGAGTTATACCTACTTTCATAGACCTTTTTCGCCACTTTGTTGTTAAAAAAACTCATTTCTGAAGCAAAAATTTAAGAGAATTCTGAGTCGTTTGAAATCTTCAAAAAAGTTTAATTTCTCCAAGTAAGAGAACAGTCCTGAAGAGTCCACAAATTTTGACGTGACAATTTTACAAAATTCCCAACTTTTCACTGTTTTTCCGACTTGGAAAAGTTGGGGAATTTCTGACCGTGAAGATAGAAAAAATAATAGTAGAGAACAATAAGCACAATATTATTTAAGTGCTGTTTCCTTTCATTTGTATTGATTATTCCTATACATGGTGGATATGGTGGAAGACCAAGTACCTTGGTCCAAAGTAGAATAATTCCCATTATTATTTCTATAATATCCAACATTTATTTTTGTTTGTGCATAGCCTAATAGGCATAATCATTCAGCCAATCTTTGGATAGATAAGTAATAAAATTAATATATTATAGTAGTAACTAATCCCTCGGCTTTCATTTCTTCGAAGGTTGGGAAAATTCGGATTCCCTCACCCCCTGGTTTTTCTTTTCGCTACGGCCCTGAGGTACACATATTTATAATAATATGTATGTTATGTGGAACAACATATATTGAGGTCACCTCCGATGTTGCCAAAGATTATGATAATTCTGAAAAATACTTATCGATACAAATTTCAGGAACTATATCATAGGCTCACTGCATGTGTTGATTTAGACTTGGAGTGATTCGCTATCTCCCCTCTTTCTTCGATCTAGATCAACTGAAAAACGAGTCCTTAAAATATGGAATCTCTATAGCTCGAACACGTTCCAGCCAAGCATGTTCGAAAGTAAAATTCTGCCATGGGATGGTCCTTCAGGGTCGTTTGCAGTTTCTCTTGGGACAAAGTATGACACAGAACCTCTCCTGGAATCCAAGAGGCAATATGTAGAAGTTGAAATTGGTGTTATCAAGATCCAAAGAAAGCGATCAAATGGTCCTTTTTTATTTTATTTTTTTTTAAGACAAAACACATGCATTTCCAAAAATCCTTAAGGTGCTCTAAGAGCGGTGCCTGTGCAAAAGTAGCGATTCATGTTGGATTAGAATCGCTGGAGATTGAATCAATTTGGAAAAATGTTCTCAGGAAGTTTATTCCACATAATCGCAGTTTTCCAAATGAAAAAGTGGTTAAACAGTGAAGCTCGAGGTGTATCGAGTAGAATCTCAAAGTGATGAGAAGCCTCAGTCCGTCGCGTATCACTGATATGCACCGCTCTTGGTGGAATCAAATGTGCCAAGTCACAACCTTTCTTCGATGTGATATTCGTATCTCCAATCAGGCGGATGGTTTTTTTCTGGCAACTCCAGGGTATCCTTAGGGGCGGAGCTCCTTACATGAGAACAATACTGCAGAGCAAGCAAGTTGCTGAGGTGTGTACGTACAGTTTTCTGGTTCGGAACAGTATTCCAAGCTTTTGAGAAGCTGTCTGCAATTCCAACGACATGATTGTGCCAAAACATATTGGTGTCCATTTTAACCCCCAACGAACTTATCGAAGCAGAAAATGGAATTGTCTGTCCTGACATTATTATATCCGGTTCGGAGACATTTATCTTTTTGGAAAAAACCGATGCCTGGGTTTTCGTACCATTGAATTGAATAAGGTTTCTTTCACCACAATTTGAAATCACCTCTAGATCCTCATTAATATATGCAACCTCCTGCTGCTGAGGAAGATGTGCATTCGCAACCGATGTCCTGGAATCCAAATGGAATGACGAGACAAGTGTAGTGTCGTCAACAAAACAATATATTAGGTTCTTGTTTTTTCAATAAGTCGTTGATATACAATAAAAAAAGGGTTGGAGACAATATGGATCCCTGGGGAACACCATCGTTGATGGTAAAAGTATTCGATAGATTTTTCATCGACGACCACTTAGATTTATTGGAGGTCCTCCCTTCCATGCCTCTCTGCCTGTTATAATTGTTTTGAAGTTTTTTCCGAAGCTATACTGGGGAAGCATCCCCAGTATACCACTTAGAGGAAACGTTCTTTCAGGAAGCTGGAGAGCCATATACAAAAATGATCTGACAGCTCTTGACTCTCCATATTTATTGATTGCGTTTTGCGTTATTCCAAATATAAGTGATATACGATAGGTTGCTTGTTAATCTTTGTTTCCGAAAGTCATATTGATGATCGTTCAAGATATTAAAGCATTCCAAATACTTAAGGATATGGAGGTTTACGGCTTTCTCTATGATTTTTGATAACCGTGATAGCAAAGCAACTGGTCTATTTTTAATTGGAACACTGAAGGCGAGCAATCTTCCAACAAGATGGAAAAACCCCTTCATTGAAAGACTGGTTGAAAAGTCTGCAAAATACTGGTGCGACTTCATTGGCGCACTTTTTAATTACGTTGACGGACACTTCATCAGGAACAGATGCCTTGTTGATATTAACCTGTTTCAAAATTCGCCTGACTAGTATTGTCATTGAAGTATTACAATGACAGATTTTCAGTATCATAGCTAAAAAGTGGAAATACATTTTTTTGAATTTTAGATTTTTTTAATGAAGCATTTTCCTTATCTAACATTCTTCTTGCTATACTTTCTTCTTGAATAACAGAGTTGATAAAGAATCGAAAAATATATGAAAAACGGATTCAATTCTATTGTAAAATCATAAGCGGTATATAAAAAAAATCTGTGAGATATGTACCTAACACGTTACAAAACTGGTTTTTAAGGAATATTACCTATTTCAGATTGTACATTACATACCTAAATGACATCTATTTAGTAACTCGATTCATAAATAACAATTATGAACGGTTTTCCAGTTGTTCCTTCAATAATTGATATGAGAAATCAATGTTACAAAATAGTAGAAAAATGGACAAATCTGACTGATACTTGATGAAAATCCAAATTAATTCTAGTTGACACAATTTACTGTAAGATTTTCAATATGAGATAGATAGATAGATAGTTTATTTGACTTCATATATGTAACAAACATTTGTAGCAAGTCAGGTGATAAGTCAAACATTTTAAATCGAATAAAATAAAAAACATTAGCACTACAGTAAAACTAAAACACAAGGCACCCAAAAGGGGGACAATTTTTTTTTCAAATACATTATTACAAGCATCACTGTATAACAGAATACAATACATTCTGAAAGATATTATTACACGCACTTTATCAATGAGAAATTTTTTATGCCCTTTTTAAAACGCGTCTGTGATTAGTTCTTGACTGTAGTTGGCAAGATATTTATTGTATAGATTAACATCTAAGGAATTCTTGGAAGATTTCTGTAGATTGAATTCAGCAGGTCGTATAAGATTAGCACCACGTGTTCCGTAATTATGAAAGTGGGAGTTAGTTAAAAGAGTGCCCTTAATTTTATGTATACTTCCAGCAGTGACTGAAAAATGAAAATCGATGGAAGAGTCATGATTCCCAATTTTTTGAACAATGGACGACATGTGTTTGTACATTCAATTGTATCAATTAGACAAAATCTATAGAGAAACACTTTTTCCACACCAGAACAAAAACGCCGTCTTTCGACGCGCGTTTTGCTAAACAAGTCATCAATTCCAAGAGATGATCAAGACAAAGACAGTCTTTGTCATCTTCTGATGATGCTGACTTGGTTAGTAAAAGGCGCATCAAGATACAATGACAAGTGTTTCTTTCAGATTCATTTTACGTTGGAGGTTCCAATGCTGCCTATCAAAATGATAGTTTTTGAATTTTTAAATCTTAAATTCATTGCGTAAGACTTGAGGACTGCCAACTGCATTAATTCAACTTAAAGGAATATTTTACACTGTTTTTCCAACGTACACAGTATCGCCTACAGATATCTTTCCAGTTCTGAATACTTCCAACATTATACCCATAACCGGATCTTTAACTGGGCCTTTACTGATACGATATCTGAAACAAATAAACAAATGAATATCCAATAAAGGTGAAATTGGAATCTCTGACGTAGAATAAATCCAAAACAAGAACTTTTCCCAATCAACAGAAATACAATTACGCGCGTCGGTTTCACCAACCAAGGAATACGGCTCAACAAGTTGTTCAAAAATACTACCAATTTCGTCCAAAGTCACAGCATTAAAAATTTGCTAACTTTAGTCAGTAACTAAACCACGCCACATAATTCAATTGTAGTTTCATTCGATGTGAAGAGTATGTTCTCTAACATACCGTACAACAAATGTAAATCTCTCATTTAAAATATATTAGATCAAGCCAGACAGCTTTCGATGCATGCCTAGATCAGAATTACCTTCAATTTGATAACAAGATTCAGGTTCATCAATAGGCGCACCCCTTAAAACCACTTTTGGCAGACATATTTATGAACAACTTGGAGACCACTATAGTAAATTCCCACCTGGGTAAAAAACATATTCATTTTTGGTACAGATATGTATACGATAATCCCGTCTGGACAGCTGAACCAATTCATGACATTCGTGAATAATCTCATTAGAAACATACAGCTCACACTCGAAACAGAGATAGAGATAATAATTTTGAGTTAAATGTATTCAGAAAACCGAGCTATACCGAGTATAGAAGTAAACAATTCCATACGGTGGCTGCACAGACATTACAATCCCAAGTGATTCTTTCCTTCCCGTCAGTCATAAATTAACAGCCTACAATTCAATGTTACACAGAGCATTTTCGTTACCTTTGTCTGCTAACAATTTGGATAGGGAAATTGAAAGAATTATACAGATAGGACAAAATAATGGTTTCAACGCAGACACAATCCAGAAGTTAGTCAGAAAACAAAGCCTTTGATTTGCGTAAAAATTGATACACCCCCAGATCAAACAATCAGAAATCAACTGTAACATTATTTGGTAAAGGAACAGAGATAATTGCGGGAATTTTCAGAAAACACAATGTGGAAGTGGCATTCAGGCTACATGCTAGGTTATCTGATTTTCTCTTCAATGCCAAAGATAAGGAGGACAAGTTGGAGAAATCTGGCCTTAATAAGCTTAGGTGTCCGGAGTGTAATAGTGTTTATGTGGGACACTTTGGACGAATTAAATAATAATAATATCGTCTTTATTATCTTCTTAGTTTATAAAGTGATTTTTTGGTACCATGCCCAACTTTACGAATGCTGCAATGGCTGATATGGTTTTTGCATAAGGCTTGGCTGACGGAAATTCAAGCGAGGCCAGACGCATCTATCAGGAAAGGTATACCCAACGCATGACTCCTTGTGCAGCGACACTTGCGAATCTTTTCCGGCGACTTTCCGAATCTAGAAGCTTTGAAACAAATTCTGCAGTAGGACGGCCACGGACTACAAAAACTTTAAAATTGGAGGAGGCGGTTCTCGAAGAAATTAGTGAATATCCAGAGACAAGTACAAGAAAAATTAGTCAAACTTTAAATGTGAGTCACATGACAGTTTACAGAAATTTAAAGGAACAGCAGTTATATCCTTATCACACTCAGCATGTCTAGGCACTTACGCTACGTGATTTCCAACCACGTATCGAATTTGCTCAATGGCTTCAAAGAAAATACGAATATCCTCTTCACAGATGAGGCTAATTTTTCAAGAAATGGTATTATGAACTTCCATAACAACCACATCTGGGCGGAAGATAACCCACATGCGATAACGCAAACTCATTTCCAAGACAGATTTTCTTTTAATAATGTATAGGTAGGCATAATTGGGGATTATTTAATTTGGCCCTATTTTCTCCCCTTACGTTTGAATGGAGATGCTTACCTACATTTTTTGGAACACGAGCTTCCCCAACTTATGGAAGATGTTCCCATTGGTCTCCGAAATCACTCTTGGTTTAAGCACGATGGAACTCCTGCTCATTTTAGAGTGATAACAAGAAATTTTTCAGACGTAGCATATCCCCAACGATAGATAGGAAGAGTAGGCACTGAGCATTGGCCCCCGAGGTCACCGGACCTCAATCCCGTCGATTTTTTCTTTTGGGGACACCTAAAATCACTAGTTTACGCTAGTCCCATTGAAAACGAGGAAATGTTGAGAGATCGCATCATAGCTTGCTGCGAAACGATGAGAAACTCTCCGGGCATTTTTCAACAGGTGCGGAATTCTTAGGGAGTCGTCACTTTGAACAGTTGTTGTAATAGTTGTTTCGTTTAATTTTTATATGTTTATTTTCTTAATAAATTAGCACTTTCTGATTGAATAATTAAACCAGACAATTTTTTTAAAATTTGGATTGAATAAGCAGTTCGATTATGCTCAGTTTAGAAGAAGTCTGTACGGGTATACTACGTATAAAGTTTAATGAAAATAACCAAAATTGCAAAAAACTTATGACAAAAACCTAGCATCATTCTTTGTTAAACATTTTATAGGAAAAAGTTGTTTATTTTGACGGGATCCACCACATAGTACCATTTTTTTATGTTCTCAGCAACTTCACTTAGCGCCCTAGGAGCTAAGTAATATGCATCGATATAGAAAATTGTAAATATCTCGAAAATGATCACCTCCAGTGTTGTTGAGGAGGTGTACCTTTTTTACTTGAAAAAGGTGTGGAAATTAGGTTTTTTCATGAAAAGTATCAAAAGTTTACTGTCAAAAGAGTTAGGGCAATTTGAAATAAATAATGACAGCGTACGCAGCGCCCTCTAGATGTTGCATTAAAATTAATACGAAATAATGATTTTCCACGTCAAAAAACCCTGGGTACCGAATTTCTTTCAAATAACTTTTTTTTGCAAGAGTTATTTTCAAAAAGCGAACAAAAAAATTCAATTTCAACACCCCCTATCTCTGAAACAAAGCATTTTCGGACACAAGTTCATATAGCCTTTTTTTCCCGTGTTAGTAATCACACGTTAAAAGGTAAGACCTCGTTAATCCTTAGCTCGCATAAGTTTCGACTTCTGAGGGTTGTCGTTCGTAGGGGTGCGACAGCTGGTTAACGGAAAAACAGATTTTAAACAGAGATTTTTTTCTTGAAATTGTCTCAGGAATACGTCACTTGAATATTTCAACGTACTTATGTTACACCCTGTAACACACTTTTTATAACAATTATAAATTAAAAGCTTATAAAGTTGACAACAACTGTCAAGTTGTTTATTAAATGCTGCAATCGTTTTCCAAGGCAACCCTTGATTAATATTTATGGTATTTTCAGAAGAGTGCGAAATTCAATGATGCGGCGGCTAGACGGTTGTATTAAAGCCAAATGAGGCCATTTCCAACACTTAATTTAGTGCAATTCGTTAGTCTAGATGTTAATGTTATTTAATATTTGTTGTTATTGTTACATAATTAGTAATGAAAAATTGTAAAAATATTAATTTCCAAAAGAAACATTTAATTTCTCATATTATTCCTTGTGAGGTCCAGGGATATGCAATTAGGTCGACTTATTTTCTCAAAAACTAAGCAAGATACGAAAAAAATTCATCAGACAAAAAAGTTCTATTTCTAACTGCTCAATCCAAAGAAATAATAAAAATTTCACAAAAGTCAGTGGCGTACATTTTTAAGTCAAAAATATTCGTTCGAATCCCGCTCGAGACGCCACTGGACTTAATAAATTGAATAACGTTCGGGTTAAATTAGCTCCTTAATGTTATAAATACCATTGCCAAATCACAACAAAATTATGTAAAGGATATTTAAGATATTTACGAATAACTTTTTTTTTATTTTTATTTTAACACCCTGTATCTTGAGAAGGAAGGATTTGCGGACCCATGTTTATATGAACATTTCGTCTTGAAATTACCTAAAGAATCGTCTGTTAAATTTATAGTACATACTTAATTAACACCCTGTATGGTTTGTGAAACGCGCATCGAGAAGAATATTATATTTCCAGTAATTGGGAAAAGTGCTTGTTTTTGGAAATGAATATTAGTTCAAACAAACAACTGAAACTTGTTCCTTACAAATTGAACTACATTTTAGTGGAAAATAGTATATGTTAAATTGAATAAATCATGTATCAGTATAATCAAGAAATGATATAATATTTTCATCTTACTTTTCCATCGTTTTCAATGGTTCTCTATCAGATCTTCTCATCCCAGTTTCCATATCGATAGTCGTCATGATGCACCTGCCACATTCCGAAACGTTTTTCATGATCACGTCCCCAACTTTTATCCACTCCCAGTTATCTTCTTCGAAAGGTTCAAGATTTGGGTCGTCCATGAGAAGATTGGGACGATAACTTTCTGCAGGAACGTGTGGGCTGAACATCCTTCTATTGACGTCATCCACAGAAGCCTGAGTCATCATCATGACCGCCGTTAGGTCAGAATTCAAACCCTAAAATTTGATGTATCTAACTGATCATTGAACTCACCAAGGGCCAATGATAATGTTACGAATAGAAGCAATTATAAGAGCATTATTTCAAAATAATAATTGAAAATTCTCCAAAAGAAATAAAAAGAGGCAGTGGACCTAGAAATAAAAAAAAATAAGGTCACATGGAGGAAACGGTCTGCAAGTAGCCAAAAACACAGAAAAGGATGTTCTCAAATGGAAGAAATAGAAGACGAAAATAATAATAATGGAAATTTGAGTGGAAAATGGTCTCCTTATGAGGACATCAAATTAAGAATTCGAAAAATGCGAAAATTTAGAAAAGACATGATATTTCCACAAAAGACTATTTTGTAGTAGCCAACAAACTACAGATTGGTTACTATTCATTATAAATACACAGAAAATAAAAGCTATCAACTCAGAGAAAAACAGCACCAAAAACCTCTCAATGAAAATATATGAGAATAAGTATAACCGTAAACCTCTATTCAAGACACCATCTATAGAATCAACAGAAGACCCAAGTCACGAATATTAATTTCCAAAATCAGTCCGTCACCAGGGGCTGCTCTCAAGGTGAGGTACTCTCCCCTTCTGTGGTCGCTTCCGATGGATAGTCTGCTTGATGCCCTTCTTAGAAGACAAGTAGATCTGCAAGCTTATGCAGATGCCCTTTTCATATTGGCAAGGACCGCGTCGGTCACCAAAACTGTGATAATCCTCTTCATCAGGAGGAGAAAATTGGACGATTTAATGCCACTTTCCCTCAATGGTGAGGTCATTCCATTTGGAACAGAAGTGAAATATCTTGGAATTGTCCTTTATAGAAACTCACCTGAAACGCTCACTTGGAAAAAGTTTTACACAAATACAAATGATCACTTCTGGAGCAATTGCCTGGTGGCCGAAGGCTTTACAGAAATCGGCTTAAGCGAAGCTCTCTGGCTTACAGAGACAGTCTTATATGGCTATCTGTTAAGCCACCAGTACCACACCGTCAGTGTCCATGGAGATCCTTCTAGATCTACCTCCTCTCCACATTTTTCTGAAGAGAAAGGCTAAATGGACTGCATATCGACTTGTGCACATCGCCAAATGCAAAATTCAATCTAATGCAGAGTACACTGGACTGCTGGTTGATACTGGAAGTCACAGTATTCTGGGAATGACCTCTGATGAACTACGATGTCTAACAGTCCTTCTCGCAGGTTACTGTCGTCTGAATCATCATATCGGACTGTGGGAAGACAGTGTCTGTCGTCTCTGTTTGGAAAATCATGAAACACCAGAGAATATAGTTTGTGCCTGCCCCGCTGCGGACCGAATCAGGATTTCAGAGTTTGGTAGAACCTGAAAGATCACTGCCCATATAAACTAATCGGCTTCGTCAAGAAGCTGAGTTCATTTGGTCGAGTTTCAATAGGTGTGAGCCACAATACACCCTTGCGGGTTGCGGTGGAGGGTCAAATAGACTCACTCACTTTTGACCTAACCTAACCGTTGCAAAGCCAATACTTCACATCGCCCTCCGAACGCAAATCCCAAATCAAATCATTCGTGATTCAACACTTGATAGCTTTGTTCGTGTTTTTTTTCAAATATTTGCCTTGCCATGAAAGCTGTAGAGAAAACTGAAAGGCGTATTTTGATCGTCGGTCGATATTGAAGCTCGGCTCTTTGAAGATTCTCGTGTATTATAGATATCCGTGGTTTGGGTCTTCCTTCGATTCTATGAATGTAATATTCACGGTTCTAGATGACTGACGATGTAAATGCAGAGGCGACAGGCGACTCCACGAAACGGAAGTCCCACAAGGCGCAGTTCTTTCACCGTAACTCTTTTTGGTGTATACGGCGGACATGCCCAAGCCAGGGAAAAACTTCAACAAGTTCCAGATCTGAAGGTTTATGAAGTTCTGTGAAGGCTCCTAGATACATATCCAACCGTTATACCTACCAGGATGTCACCCTGAGTAACCACATCAAAATATCTTCGAACGAAGTTGGACACATCCATCGCTGCGTGATCTACACGATGCATTGGACAGGGACCACCCCAGATTCCGCGAGAGGTACAAGCACATGAGGCTACGATAACTATATATAAAGTACGAGTATAAAACTCCACAAACACATACACTCACAGACATTAATCCGCGACGCATACACACCTCTCTCCAGTTAGGTATAAGGGACCACCATGCATACGAGTACACTACAGTCAGTAGAGTCAGATATAACAAATTAACAGATGAGAAGTGAATATAACCTCCAGAAGCTGACTTCCAACCATAGAATGGTAGATATTAATCATGCTGAAGTGCGAAGTATAATCATATACCTACTGCAGAGTTCCTGCTGATACCCCTGTGGTTATAATCATCCAGCTCTTTCAAAAATTTTGGTATCAAAACCCGTTGATGACTGCCGTCATTATAACCCAATCTCAACCCGAAGTCTTCTTGTAAAAGATAGTTGGATATCCACTTGGCTGCTTCTGCTCCACAATCAATCATGAAAACTGGTTCGTCTTGAAAAAATCTTCAAAACGAAAGATTGTTATGCATGATTTCAATAATGAATATATCGCACAGAAAGATGAAAATAAATAATATATCACGTATGATTTATTAAAAATAATTTCGCTTGAAAAACAAATATGCTTTTATATCAATGGGCGTTGAGATTAGTGATAATGAGAAAATGAAAATATTGATAATATTAGAGTGTATTTAGAAAGAATTGTTTTCTTTGACAATAAGAAATTGACATTCATTTTTCAAATCATGTCCCTATTTATATTCAAAAACTAGTACCGTACGTTCTGGTACTTTACTGTCGAGAAAATAGTCTGCATTGAAACTCTAGGAAAAAAATATAATTGTATAGATATTTTTGTAAACATATAGTTTTGATGTTCATTTAATTTCAACAGTTTATCTAAACCAATCATCAGTTCAACCTACCAAGTTGGTGTCATCGGGAGATTAACTATATTGTGTAGTTTAAAAATCCTTGACTGAAAAAACTACTCACTTGACGAAAACCTCCGAATTTTTGGATCTGCAGGGAACTTGTAAAGTTAAACTCATTATACCAGGTGCCTCGAAAACAACACTACTTTCATCAAGAGCTTTTACTTCAACTAGGACCATTTTGTTGTGATTTCTACCAGTCTTGGATTCCATTGTTTTTTCTTGGTATACCACAAAGGCTCTGGAAAAAAAACTTTCAATTGTGGGTAGATTGAATTGGAAACGAACGATTTATTTTCTTCATCAATTTGAGAACCATAATCTGTCTGGAAAATTTCTCATTACAATAGAAGTTCTGTGGTGAGTAATGATTTATGATAAAACATTTACTAATGCAAAGTAATAGCTATTTATGATATGAGTGTTAAAAGAAAGATTTTATTTTGAGAGTGAAAAATTCACGAACAGTTTTTTGTACAACTGTACTGTTTTCATAATGAAAGATAAATTTAATATTTTTATAAAAACACATTTTTGACATCTCTCGTCAGTTAACTATTTTCATGTTATCGCATTTGCTGTGAAGTGGCCGTGTCAGGTGACGCCGAATCACCTGGTTAACATCAAACAGTATTTTTACAGCTCACGTGTTTTATTTAAAGTCACATTTGAAGTTTTTGCTGTTCAAATGTCTTGCATATTGAAGAAAAATACTGAGAAATTGTGTGTTTTTGATGGGCAAAAAGAGCTTCAACTGAATTGTTACCAAAAAAATCGGCTCAGCAGTACGTCATCGCATATTCAAATTTTCTTAGCTGGTGTAGACTTGAAAACATCAAAGAAAATTTTTGCGAAACCGTCTTCTTAGCCTATCTAGAAGAGAAATCTAAAATATGGAACTCGTCAACTTTGTGGAGCAAGTTTTCAATGATAAAGTGGAGTGCGCTCGTTAAAAATGGTGTTAATAGAAGCAACTATTCAATAATAATAATACTATACTTTATTGTCATTAAGAATAAATCTTCTGGACAAAGCTTGTGAAAAATACACACAAATGTAAGTGAAGAAATATAGAAAGTGAATATAAAAACACCTACAAAAAAGTAAAGTTAGAACATACACTGTAGTTCAACATCAAAATTTTGTCTACACAGTTGTGTACATATTTGTTTAAAAATATTATTTGAAAACCAAACTAGCTTTCGCTTAAAATATTGTGGTATTGTAGGAAAACTGTCAGACGTATTTTCACAAGTTTTTCGATAACTTTGGCTATAGTTGGAATGAGAGAGATCGGACGAAGATTCGCGGGATCATCTGAATCTCCATTTCAACGTAATAGCATTCTTAAAGCGAAAAATGTAAGTTATAGGCCCAAAAAATCAAAAACTCTTACGTTTGAACAAGTCCAGAGATTTATAAATGAGGCGCCAAATATTTTATGATAAAAGTTGCTACTATTTTCGAAATATATGGAGTCTGCCGGCGTGAAGAGCTGTGCCATTTATTAGTAGAAGACATTAAATTATTGGATAAATCATTAATTGTTCGAAACGAAACAAAAAACATATTGCTTACAACATCCATATGCAAACAATATAGTAACAATGGGGAAAACGAAAACCTAAGCAATTAACGAACTAGAAATTGAAGGAATTGAATTCACCGTAGTGTGCGCTGGTCAGGCCCTATCCCCCGAAGCCCCGATACATTCGGGAGGGCGCGCCAGCATAATCAACCAATGACCACTCCCCACACCGTGGGGTAAGTGATCATTGGGTCCGACAATCATGTGCCCTGAGCAAACGCAGTGAGACAAGAATGACAGTCTTCTGCATCTGTGCGGCTAAGATTTCTGCCTTAGTGCGACAAGCCGGTATGATTTTGAGATTCGAGAGTAGAGAAGACATCATTCCACCAAGGACTCCAATAATCAGAACGACCATCTTGACAGAGTGATCTGGATAGAGTCTGCGGAGTTCGAAGAGAAAATCTCGATATTTTATCCGTTTTTCCTCCTCTTTTCTGACGATATTCGTCTCGCCAGGAGCTAAAAACTCCACGACAAATAACGTTTTGGTCTGGTGGTCGAGAAGGACTACATCAGACTTATTAGCTTGTATGAGCCTGAGGGTGGGGAATGAATAGTTCCAATAAATTCGGCACTTCTCGTTCCCCACAACGGATTCAATATCCCCCGGAGCGTAGGGCAACACCGGTGTCTCGTCAATACCGTAAGAGTGCCGTAGATGGTAATATAGCACTCTTAGAGCCGCGTTATGTCGATGGATATAGGCCGAGACCGCATATGCTGGACATGCCGATAGCAAAGGTCTTCAATATTATTGAAGAAGACCCCATGCATTGACTTATCCCTGTGTCTCCGCAGAAGTAAGATGATCTCTGCGGCTTTTATCTGAGCTTTTTGCTGAACGGGTTCCAACTCGTTCAGAGTCGAAAACTATACCGAGTTCATCAGCTGCTCGAGCAGCTGCTCATCAGCTGCTCGAGCAGCTGCCCTAAGGAGAAATGCTCCAATTCCTGCTCTCTCATGGTCACGGACCATGCAGAGAAGGACAGGCTGTATCCAGTAC